GAGGATCCCCAGAACCTAGACTGGTGCCTCATATATAACCGGTGGTCAATAAATGAACAAGGTGTCCTCGTCAGTATAGTTTTATTTTTTTCTATATTCTGCAGTAGCTAAGGAAATTCATGGTAGTTGTCAGTTTTCTTTATACAACAGTAGACACAAAGGTTTCAGAAAGGTCAGACATAAAAGAATTTCCCCATCCTTCTCTCACATACCGGTTTATTTCAAACTTTTCATAATTACCTATTTCAATGATATAAAATATGTACCAGATCACAGAATATGATGGACTCATTTTATAAGGGTAGTAAAACTGTTATACTAAGTCTCAATGACAGACAAAAAGAAAAAACATATCCTTTCTGTAATCATCTTTTTAATCATATTATGACCTTCATCACTATATTAAGACGTATACAATTGTACAATATTTTGCAGTTAACAATTAGCACTGATCACAAATACCAAATGTCTCCCTTTTCCCATCATGTTCAACTCAGCGCCCAGGTAATCTACTCCTTTGGGTACCTCTGATGCTGTTTCCAACCCCCTCAAGTGTCTGCTCCAGATTTCCCTAAGGTGCAGTGTAACCCCTAGCACCTGAATTAAGGATAGCCTCAACTTCTGCATCATCATCAGAATCCCAATCATAATTACATGGCCAGTCCTTGGAGCATCGGTTACGCACCCTTGCCACAAAATGCATGACTTTCAGCTTGCTCGATTCCACATGTGCTCTAGGTCCCCAGAAGAACTCATACTCCACGGGACTGCTACGTGGCACTGGCTTATAAATCAGGTACCCTCTGCGCACAAACTCCTCTGTGACGACCTTCTTTGGATCTCCAAAGATGCTGTGCTGCCGGCCAGGCTGCATCCCCAACTTCCCAAGCACTTTCCAGACCAGGGCCTCCTTGGCGCTGTTGCCCATGATGAAGATGAGGGCTAATATGGACATCAGGAGACTTTTCTTGGTGCCTTGAAAATTGCTCCGGGCTACGGAAGGCTTTTGTACTTGAGCAGTGCTGGAGGCTTCCTCAGGTGTAGTGGAGGCCTCCTCCGGAGTGCTAGGGTCTTCCTCAGGGCCACTCTGGTCGTCCTCCGGGGTGCCTGGGGCCAGAGAAGAGGCCATCGGGGTCTCAGAAGCTTCTGAGGCCTGGATCTTACGATTGTTGCGGTTCTCTTCCGCGGCTCTTGCGTTACGGCGGCGCCGACTCTTCCGACCCCGAGGCATGTCTCCCACTATGGGCGCCGAGCCTATTGCAATTCTAGGGAATGATGCCTGCAACTTCTGCAGAAAGCAACTATCTCTACCTTAAGCGGCCGCTGCTGAAACCACCAATGTCAATAGTCTTTGTAGCAACAAGCCAGATGTTCTCAGCGACAAAGCTCACTCCCAGGGAAACAAAAATGCGCAAGCAACAGCCGCCTGCATTCACTCCCGCTGCAAGAGCCAGAACGCTAGGCAAAATTGACTCCGCCTTTTCTGCCACGCACTCACTGAACTCCAAAGAGGAAGTGGGCGGCTCCTCCACCCAAATATCCGCTCTCAGATAGGAAAAGAGGCATGACAAGGCAGGGGTGGGACTAGGGCAGAGATGGCAGCTAGGGATTGACAAGGGCAGGAGAATGCACAGGAGAAAAGAGCATAGGGCTCCTGTATTTTTCAGTCTAGTACAAAATTTGCTAGCGGGTATTGAGAAAGAATGTGCCTTTAATTCATTCTCACAGAAGGCAGGCTGTACATATATGAGTATCCAGGGGGTGGTGGTGGAGGGTTTGGGGGGATGGAGTTGAGGGGTGTATTTATGGAAGGTTTCAGCTGGTCTCAGTTCTCCTATCCTGTGTTGGCTTACACAGCATATTCATTCACCATCCCCGTTCTCAGAAATAGTTTATGTGTATAGGAATTAATTTGTGGGCCATCTAGGATCCACCTAAGATGTCTATGGCTGAATCACTGAGTGATTAGGGGAAGTGGGGCTTCAAAAGCAGCAAACAGTGTGCAAGAGGTGCAGAACCTTTAAAATGTTCTATATTGACGGGATTGTTAAGCAGAGCACTGACTGGATCAGACTGTCATTGCACAGCTTCACAGAGGCTGTACAGACTGTTGTCTGGCAGGTCACTTAGGAAGCAATTAGAATAAGAAGCAAGAGGGAAACAAAGTGAGCCTTAAAGAAGTTTCCATGGGGATGGAGAGGCAGAAGGGCATTTTAAGGGTGATGATGGACAGGCTTTAGGGACTGATTGGATGGAAGAGGGGAAAGAGGAGAGGGTGGTGGAGTGCAGATTAACTCTGAGGTTTCTAGGCTCCAGTCCACCTGAATGCCTGATTTATTTTGGTTGTTTAATTCATTTGGCAACCCTAATGTAATTCAGAGCATACTCTCAACTTTATCCACTCTGGTTCTTTGCTTACTGCTTTCTCTGTCTGAATTGTCTTTCCTTTCATCTCCAACTATCTAAATTCCGTCTGCCTGCTTACAGGCCTCTTCCTGCCTGAAGTTTGTCTTCCTGGAAGAGTAATGAGTCCGTGTTTGCTCCTCTCCCCCCGAGGGAGGAGTCTCTATAGCAAGCACTCTGTATCTTTCTTATGTCATTCCAAAGATACTATTTTGCATAAGTCACTTCACCTCTCTGAGCCTCGGTTTCCTCATCTATAAGGTGTGGTTAATTAAGTGCTGGCCTCATAGGGTTGTGAGAATTAAATGAGATAACAAATGAACAGCACTTGCCATGCAAGAATCACAGCCTTTGCTTCTCAGGTGTTTCAAGCAGTGTGTGAGAGTGGCATTTAATATGCATGTTGAAAGAATGTATCTTGCATGTGTGTTTACCTGAACATTTTAAAAGCAAGCAAAAACTTTATACCTTTATGGCTGGAAGAGATTAAATGCTTGCTTGACAGAGCCTCGGATTATAATCCCATTGAGGGGAAGGGGCCCTGTCTAGCCTCTTGATGTCTCCCAGACTTCAATAGAGTTTGTGGAATATCAAGATATGGTTACTCCTGGTGAATAAGTGTTGGGGTGGGGCAGTAGGTCCCATTCAGAAAGCAGAATTGCCAGCTGAATTGCACCCAAAAAGGCCCAGTCCTCTGTACATGTGTAGAAAAAGGATGCTTGGTATAGAGTAACGAACATTGAACTGAGACCTAGGAACATGAGTTCTGGCCCAACCTGTGTTGCCTACAAGCTCTTTGACTTTGATGAGCTCACTTACCACCTCTGTCCTGTGACTTGTCCTCTGAACAGACAGGAAAAGGCTAAAAGGCTAATCTCTCCAGCCTTGTCTGCCAGGCCTGTTGTCAGGCTCTCTAGAAATCCAACAGTACATCCTGGCAACCCTGGATGAAAGCAGGTTCCTCTGAGCTCAGTTTTTTTTTCCTTTTGTTTGTTTTATGTTTGCTGTTTATGAATCGGTGTGGCTAGAGGACTACAAAATCACCTATATGCTTTCAAATAGCTTCTCCATTCTGATGGGACTTTATGGGAATGTAAGCCAGCAAACTCATTCTCTTCCCAACGGTCACTTTCTAACTGAAATTTTCCTTATACCCAGAACCTACCAAGGCCTCCTGTTGAAGAAGCCTGGCCATAAACTAATTTGGGGAAGTGTATGCTTACTGCTGCATTTCCTTCTGCATACCAACCAGCTGGGTGAGGAGGGGGTGCCATCTCTCTGCCACAGCCTTCATCTGAGTGAACCTTTGCTCCACTCCACAACTAGGACAGGGCAGCTGTGCATAGCACCCTGGGTAGATCAGAGCCTACCTGAAGAAATGTACAACCTAGGACTGCGACTTCCAACCAATTTCCTCAAAGGAGTAATCAGGAACAGTGTTAAAGTTGTGAGCTACACTCAATGTTCACAAAAGCTTAACAGAAATCACATTTACATAAGACAGGCCATAGAAGTTGTTAGTCAATAAACACTGTATTTAATACCCAGAATATCATCAGGCATGGTTTAACAGGAGGATATAAAAAAACCATGCCTCTGGGACATTGCGGACCACAGCTTTGTTTAGAGCAAGTAGCACATGACAAAGGAAGGGCAACTGACTTGTGAGGGCCTTAGGAGTACAAAGAGAGGAGGGAAACTAACACTGTTGTGGTAGGCTATGTGTCCAAACTACCTTCAAACTGAAATCTTTACAACAACCTTTAATTACCAATGAAGCTAGAGAAAGGTTAGCTCTCTTGTCCGTGATCATAGCACTGCTGATGAATGTCAATATTTGGGCTCACATCTTCAGATTTCCAAGCCCTGGCTTCTGCCATCACACACCTCACAGCTGCTCCAATTGAGTGCACATTTAGTGGTTCCAGAGGGCTTAGTATGGAAGGGAGTATTATTGCTCTCTTGAATAGGAGCAGAAGGAAGAGATGAGAAAAGGGACAGATGTGGGGAGGAGCAAAGCAGGGATCCTTACTCACTTTACCAGGTTTTCCATGACTGGCTCTGCCCCTTCCAAGCCATGTCAAGTGTGTCACTTAACCTTTCTAAGCCTCAATTTCTCCTTCATCTGCAAATGGGTATGTCACAGTAGTGTTGTAAAGATTAAAGGGAAATAGTTCATGCAAGATAGGGTAGGCTGAAAAATTACCCCCAGACTCCAAAGGTGTCCACATCCCTATCCATAGAACCTGCAGCAAAAGGGAACTTTGAAGATGTGATTAAGTTAAAGGTCTTTAGACGGGAAGATTATCCTGGAATATCTGGATAGGCCCAAGGTAAATGCAAGAGTCCTTTATAGGAGGGAGACAGTAGAGTTAGAGTTAGCGAATCATGAAAGGATGGAAACAGAGATCAAAGAAGAGAGAAGAGGCTACACCACTGGCTTTGTAGATAGAGGAAGGGAGTATGAGACAAGGGATGTAGGGGGTCTCTAAAAGCTACAAAAGACAAGGAAGTGGATTCTCCCCTGGAACCTTCAGGAGGAACACAGACCTGCAGACACATTTTAGACTTCTGACCTCCAGAATTGTAAAATAGTAAATTTGGTTGCTTTCAGCCACTAAATTTGTGGTAACTTGTTGCATCAGCAGAAGTAAAGTCATACACAAGGCATGTGTATATCTCATTCATGGGGAATATGTAGTGAACAAGAGCCATGATTACTGTTGAGATGAATTTATACTATTGCCATATTTTCAGTGAAAGTACTGGTAAGGACTGGAGTGGGATATGAGACTGGGCTGGATACATTCTGTGGGGTTGTCTATTAACCCACCCATCCCAGGCACTGTCCTGGCTGTATGCCCAAGTGTCCATAGGCATTGCTCTCACCTGGGCAGACATCACTATAGCCACCACCTGGAGGTAAGTTCTGGGGGCGAGATAGGTAAGGAAATGCCAGGGTTAGTCCACACTACTTTTGTTGCCATACACTAATCACCTTTTGGTTGCCTGTGGGCCCTGTTCTGATGCCAGCCAGCACCTTGCCAGGGCATAGAGCACTCTTGGGCCAGTTCCTCCATTTGCAACAAGCTTTGCACAGATTGTGGGCCATGGCTTACTCAAACAAATGAGTTGGACCCTATCTGCTGTCCCTCTGGTCTGCTGACAATTTCTGGTCTGCTGGCGATTCTTTCTGAATCATTTCATGGTACAGGTATGGACTTGTTTTACAATTTCCAGGAATTAGGGCCTTTCAAGGAAGTCTCTAGCATGTGCACTCCTACCATCATGAAACAAAAGCCATGTGATTACTTTTGGGGTTTGTTTGCTGGGTTTTAGGAAGAAATATCTTTACTACAAATTAATCTCAAGCATAGGGAGAAGAATAAAGATTAAAATTACAAACATCTGCATAACCCATGCCCCGCTGTCCCAAATTTAAAAATTAGGTCCTACTTTGGCCTATCCTTTACATTACAGATATGGAAAAACTCTCTGTTTACCTCTTCCCAGGTCCACACTGCTCTTTCCCTCCTCAGTGGGGCCCTGCTATCATGAATTCGGTACTTATTACACCTATGAAGAATTGTACATATTTGTTACCTATTTCTGTGTCCATATACATTACATAGGATGCTTTTTAATGTTTGCGCAAGTTGATAAATGTAGCTCTAGTCATTTTAATTTAGATATACTATTTCTTTCAGTACTTGCAGTTTATCTTTCTCCTGATAATCTGGACTTTTGCAGTTTCCATTTTTTTTCCGCAAGAAATAATGCTCTTATTAATACTTTTGTACCTGTCCCCTGAGAACATGTGCATAGTTCTCTAGGATCACCAACTGGTGTAGAGTTACTGGCTGCATCAGCATAAATGTGTTTTTTTTCAATATATGAAATTTATTGTCAAATTGGTTTCCATACAACACCCAGTGCTCATC